ATAAAACAAAAGGCTGATTTATATTGTTGAGCATTGCTGAGGTGGGAAATAAAAAACAGTTTTGAAATGTCGTGTGAACCATCAAAGGTATGCCGACAGTCAACCAATGGTAGATGTGGATTCACGATTTGACACAGTATAATAAAAGTCAAAAGTCTCGCAAGGATAACAAGATGTTTGTTTCATCTGGAAGGGACGGTATTATATGCAAAGGAACATCATACAATGGAAATCTTGCTTATCCCTGATTTTTAGGGTCTATGGAATTACCAAAAACACCCTGGTAGGGAGAACCTTATCTCTCCCAATTGGTGGCGCCGCTGAATTGCAGTGCTCCCTCTTGCAGTTTTTTTCTAAAAAAAAACCTGCTGCCCATGGCAAACTAAATGGATTTCAAATCCAGAGTACTTACCAAAAATAAAGGTATGGTGAGTGCTGCAGTCTGCTCTTGAAATCCATCGAATGTCAAATAAATATAATGACTGAGAAGAAAAGAATGCACAACATCAATTTAAATAATGTCAGAATTGATTAACAAGTGTCACTAAAATGGTTGCTATTTGGCTATTCTATACGCTATTCTTGAAGCAGACCACAAAATGATGTACATAAATGAGGTTCGAAAGTGATTTATCAGGACTTGTTACTCCACAAGGGCATTACAAATAGAATCTGCATAAACAAGTTGCATGCATCAAGGTCCCATAATGTCCAATGCATGTACTAAGTTTGAATATAATCCATCTATATACACAGCTGAGATCTAGGTCCAGAGTAACAGAAATGCTTGATTTTGATGAGTTTTTAGCACTAAAGTCTTGATTGCGATCACAAACAAAGAATCACAGAATGTACAAGTTCTTGCCAATATTCTTATAATAAACACAAGATCCATCTATGATCTAATGTGTGATGCATGTGTGAAGTTTACAGTTGATTGGTTTAGGCATATGTATCAGATATAGCTTCATGGAACTGCATTCATTTAAACGATATGACCGCCAGTCAGCCATTTTGGATTTGATGGTGATAAAATGCATGTGCGTTTGTCTGATATGATGTCTGATGTATGTGTGAAGTTTGAACTTGATTGGTTCAGGTTATATATGGATCAGGAACTGCATTCTTTGAAACAAAATGGCCACCAGTCAGCCATTCTGAACCCAATCCGAAAAAAATAAAATGGTATACATAAAATTCACTGGATTAAATCCATGTGAACATGTAAAAGAACAATAAAATTGCTGAAAACATGACTAAAATGATTATACAGTATTGCTTGCGCACTTCTCACAAATCAAAAATATTGTCTTTTTTCTATTCACCCAATTTCCAAAACACTTTTACATATAGTGTATTATAAACTGAATAGACTTACTTCATGTAAATAGCCATTTTTTCATTACAGTGATTTCTGAGCAAAGTTGTTTCATTTCCATTATATACCAAATAATCCATCTGCTGTGCTGGAGGAGTCATCAACCAATTACTCTCTTTCAATTTAACATGTCTATAAGATACAAAATATTTTCAAAATGGCAAGTGATGATAGCATTAACAAATTAATATTTTTTAGAAACAAATATAATAGTGGACACCGTTGTCTAACATGCATTATAAATTTCGCATTATTCATTAAAATCTGTCCAATATCAGCTTGCAGGATAAAAGAAATGGCCGATTCTGATGAATTTTTAGCACTGAAATGCAGTTTGGCCATTTTGAATCAGATCACAAAATGAAGGCATATCCAAACACGTATAGTTGTGTGTGAAGTTTGAGCATGTTCAAAACACAAGTGCAAACAACAGTCTGAAGGAGAGTATAAAATGCACATCTAAATCATGCATTTTTATTAATAAATAATATCTTTATATTGTTAGAGTATTGATGGCAGGAAGGCAGGAATTTGTTTTATATAAAATACTAATAATTGATTATAAATTTCAAACCGCAATTGAAAACAACTTTATCAACAACAAACCTCAGCGAGTGAAAATTGTTTTAGTGAATCACTGTGATTTTAAATGTTTTAAACTAATTTGACAGAATCTATCTTTTGTGCTCAGAGCAATAATTTGTATCAGCCAATCAAAACACCACCAAGACCCACAGGTAATAGGCGTTACTGGATGGTTTCCACAACCAATGAAAATCAATCTTTCAGATGAATGTTTTATAAATATTCATAATTATCCATAAAACAAATTCACACCTTTATGAAACCTGATGTACAGCTGGAGATATAAATTTTTATAAATCAAAATGAAATCAAAATAGTAGAATTCAAATTGACCAAACAAGATTCTGTAAAGCGACATCATCACAAGTTCTAATTAACATTAATAAGTTAGTTGAACATCATCCAATAAGAACACCCTTCATTTTGAATAAGGTTGCAGTTGCTATGTCACTTATGAAGGATAGCACACTCAATATAGGTGTAGACAATGTATAGATCTCACGGTAATATTATATATATATATATATATATATTAATTTACTACATTTAAATGATTTATGCACAGTGGAGGGACAGACTAGACTAGACCGGTAATTTGTTTAATATTGAGGGTCCACTCCATCCACAAGGCATGACAGTACGTGTATAACAATTAATACATATTAATATTTATAGACTCTACACATACCCTTCATTGGCTGAACTTGCACAACAAATAGTTCGAGCACTTGAAGGGAAACCCAATATATGAATGAATATGCTCAGTGACGTCAGTTGACTTATGACTAAGAATGAAGACATTTTAGCGATAAAAGAAGCAGAGAAACGGCATATAACTAGATTTGTGTAAACATGTCGCGTTTTTCCATGGAAGTTGCTGGTTACCATAAAATGCAAAACATGCACATAACTAATACAAACGGCAAGATACTAAACTATTACTTGCACGTCGTCGACTACAGTATTCGAAAATCAAATATGGCGGGTATCTCGACCTTTGTCGGAGGATAATTATTGATATATCATGATTTATTACATAATATTTTGTTTTGTATCTTCGTTATGTTGATTATTTTAATATGAATATATCTAAACATTATTTTGAAATTTAATTTGAATTTTTATTGCAAATAATGGCGTTTTCTGGTATCAAATGTTCACTTTTGTTCGAGGCCAATTCCGGAAACGTCCGACAGAATAGCGAGAGTTGTCGAGAGGTACAATCCAAAAATGGCGTCGAAGAGGAAGCAAGATGATAAGCATCTGAAGATGTTGCGAGAGATGGTGGCCAGAGAACATAATAAGAAATGTTTCGATTGCCACCAAAGGGGTCCTACATATGTCAACATGACGATAGGTTCATTTGTGTGTACATCGTGCAGCGGAATCCTGTAAGTTCAAGCTATTTTAACAAGGCATGACACGAGTCAGTCTCGTCGTGTTATATTTTGAGGGAGGGTCTTTGGACTGGACATCAAATTTACCGTGTAGCCAATGAAATGTTATATAATCTACTACACCGACCGTAGAGTATACGGGCCCATATACCAATCACCTGGTTGCGATCATTTTACCGTGGCGTGTTCGATACTAATCTGGTTTAGACCGCTACCATTACCGCCTCCCCGTGCCACCATGACCTCATCTTTACAAATTAGTGTTCAGTGTGACTCATTATGCAATCGCTATGTTACGTTATGTTATTATTGGAAGGTACATATCAGTGATTCTTATTTTTGATTGGAATTACAATAGTAATATATATGTTTTGATGCAAGGTAAACACACCATTGATGTGCTATGAGTTACACGATAAACGTTTGAGTGATAATGGTGTTGTATAACAAGTCATGAATGTTGTATAGAATATCTACTAAATATTGATTATTGAGTTCAAGAATTATTTCGTAACAAATTTACAGAATTTTAGGTATATTTTTCAATACTAACTTCAAGGTATAGACTTTGAATGCTTTTAAATTTCATTGGCCACCACTAAATCCAATGTGCAACACCCTGCATGCTATTTCATTTGCAGTGTTGTCTCCTACAGTGTATATCATACAAATGTACATGTACAATAGAAGAATCTGTGACATAGATTTTGTTTAGTTCGTTGAATATTATCTTTAATTCGTCCACTGAGTTGTTAAATTGGAAACGATAAGTTATTTGAAGTCATCCGTATTAATCTTTTTATAAAATATGTAACACATTGTGTATGCAATTAAGGAAATAATTAGATTGCTATACAAGCCGATATTTGTTTTCATTGTAAATAATAATTGGCTGTAAATTTATTGGAAACTCATGTCAGTTATATATTGTGCTTGAATCACTTGTTTCTGTACCTTCAATTGTATGTATGAAATTCTTCTCAAGTAAATTATTTTGTACATCAGGTTTTTAGCTAGCCACCTGTCTCACTGTTATTTTAGACATGATTGTCTTTTCAGATCGAACGAGGAAAATATGTCGTCACTGGAAAAGGTATTTTTGATAACTCAGGGATTTTTTTAAACAAGGGAACAGGGGTGCAGTGCCCTCATGCCATGGCCATGCACACCCTTACCCTGGGGAGCAGATTCTCTGGCAACCATAAAATTCTGATTGACAAGGGATCACATGTGGCCACAGTCTTCAACTGTGACCTGTCTGATAGTAATTTTGGCCCCAAGGAAGCCATATAATGCTCCATTTTAACTTAGAATTATCAAAAACTCCATGAATGTCGTCTGCTTCAGATGCATGCATATGCTGCCCATTGCGATGCCATTTGGCATTACACAGTAGTGTTATGCAAGTCTATGAGAGAAACCATAACTCTTCTGTGTCAATAAAAATCCTAATATCTGAAAATAACAAATTTAATGACTAAAATACCATCACAAAGACTAAAGACTGATACAAGAGCTATGCACCCTTACCTACATCAACAATTTACATATTTACATATGCACAGAATAATTGACAATATCCTAATATACTTGGTAGATACATGTATATTAGGCAAACCTATTCTTTAGTAGATTTAGTATCTATGTTGGCATTTTATTATCGCAAAATAGATGTCACAAAAATACTAGAATGTCAACAAAATGTTACTGGTGTAGATACCTTCTCACTGTTGTCAATTCAGCCAAATACATCCAATTCCATGAACCTTAAATAATCTACAACACATAGAATTTTATTACTCACATAGAGGATGATCCGGAAAAACTTCTGTCGTCTTAACTTGCCTTGGTACTGAAATGTTTTACTACCGATATACAAGATTCTGTATGTGCCATATTTGCTTTGGTAACAAAGATACATAAACCTGGGTGTTTATAAATAAACATTCTAAAGTTAGTGTTAATTATAACACCATTTAATGTTACTACAAATAGGGAATATACCATATAATAGTGATTGTCCATCTGTGATCTAGATATTATTCGGTATCATATTGCCACGCAGCAGGTTATTCTTTTATTGATGAGTGGCCGACCACTGATGATTATTGTATTACGTCAGCTATTGCCACATGCTGCTTTGTAGTCTACAAACCATACATTGTCAGGTGAACAAAAAACTGTTTTTTAAACTGGTCATTAATTGAAAAATTTCATATAACATTCAAACCTTACATAGCGAATATAAACAACTTGTTCTCTATAGTTCTTATATGGGGGGATTAATTAATTAATTAAAAATATGACTAATTTCTATTTTTATAGGGAAATTTATCATCACATATTTGAAGTTTGGGATTAAATAAGTGTGTTTGTTTTGACCAAGTTGAAAATTTCTGTCCTCAGTATGTAATCATCTTCCATTATTTTGGTTTTTATGCGCAGATTGGTTTGACTAAACTGGTGGCAAAAGAGGCGATCACTGATCGCATTAGACAGGTACCCTCTGTATACAGGTCACTTTCCATGTGAATTGAATTTGGACTGTCTAAAGTTTGTAACTATGGACAGGTGGTCTTTATAAAAAAAGTTGGTTACTAAGGCTGGTTTGAATTTATAACCTAAAATAGTTCCACATGCTTTGTACTTTTCAACAGCTTTTGCCACCGATTTTTTTTTTGCTCGGACCATATGAAAACCTTCCAAATACCATAGTTGCTTAGTAGCACATATTCTTAAATTAGAAACATGTAATATTTTAATGATTCCATATGCAACAAATGCAAATTTTGTTTTATAAACGCTTATTGTCACTCTTCTAATAGAACAAAATATCTTTACAGTGTTCAGATAGACACACGGACTCAAACTAAAACTCTGCCCCAACGAAACGTTCATCATTCAAAAATTTCAATTTGGATACGGTTCTTTTGTTCTTGGAGCCGAAACTATGACCCAAGAATACACCCAGTTTTATCCTAGGACTGTTATACATGACCTGTGTTTACAAGAAAGATGTCTGGTGGAAATGTAGTTTGAACAATATTAATAGTAGCCATACTTTGTATCATTATAAACCATACTTTGTTACGTTATTTTGTGTGTCTATGCAACACTTTGAATAGGCTTATGGTAAAACCATGGCTCTGCACTTTCATGTGTATTTTTCCCTAATCTGAAAAAAACAACAAAATAATTTGAAAAGTAGTTTGGAAATGAACTAAATAGCCTAAGTTTCCAGTTAAAATAGTATTTTCCACCTTATACATCTTATACTTTTGTGTGTTGAAGGTAAGACTAAAGTGGGCATGTTTATGAAATAAAAAGAACTTTCTTCAGAAGAAATACGTTGTGTATGTATTTAAAAAAGTCAAGAAACAAAAAATTGTTTCACCGATAATATTTCTTCATTTCAACTCCGTAGTTGAACATCCTTGATTAGGACTAGAATAAGCCCGTCTGAACACAAAAATGTATCTGTAAATTATAAAATAAAAGTTTGTTTGCTCCATATTTAGTTTAGGAAGTAAGCATTCACATTATAATGGGAACATTAGGTACTTCCTTGTTTGTTTTATCTATTCAAGAACACAAGATTTCCTACACATAGCTAATTGATTTCAAGGTCTCTATCCAAAATGACAGAAGATTTCCTGACATGAGCGTGTAGTACACATTAGACACTCATTTGCTTTAGTATTTTGGAAATATTTGTCTCAATTCATGGACTTAAAATTAGATCTTCATTGCGTTGCACACTATGATACTATGTACCAGTGATATTTGTGAGTTTGACAGACCAGTGTTTGATAAAATAACGTAGTTGGAGAATAGAAAAATCAATCTAAAAATTACCCATCGTGCATGTCATGATCATTGGATGTGTTTAACTATGTTTTTATTTATTTTTAGGCGTGGTTTAAATCCTCCAAATCGAGTGAAATCCATTTCCATGGCCAGCTACACACCACAAGAAATAGAGTTCCTTGAACAGAAAGGAAATGAGGTAGGTCAATTTCAAAATCATAGGATTGAAGACTTGCCTTTTGAAAATGCCTTGGAGCTTATAATGGTGTTTCTCAACACAGGAATCTGAGCTAAGCTAGAATTGCTCTAATGCTTGAAAGTCCCATATATTATAATACATTTGCTTTGTTTTTCATAGGATTTTGTTGAAAGCTACAAACAAATATTGCAGTTGTTAATAATTGTTAAATGATAATTGTTTTATAGTATTGTCGTCGAGTGTGGTTAGGTTTATATGATGCCCGCTCACAAGCAGAGCCTGAATCAAAAGATGAACACAAAGTACGAGACTTCATGCAACAAAAATATGAAAAGAAGAGATGGTATGTGAGTCCAGCTGAAGCTGAACGGTTGGCCAGTGTCAAACAACAGACACCACCGCTGCAAACAAAAGCTGGAACTGCAACGGGCGTCAAGCCACTAAAAAATTTATTAGGAAAAGATGCACCACCATTAGTAGTACAAAACAGTTTTCAGGTGAGTGTGTAATTGTAAATTAGTTGGTCCGAAATGGGAGACTATTAATTTGGGCTCCGTCTGTCCATCTGTTCATCCCTCCATCTGTCTTTTCTCAGACATGCTTTAACTGGACACATTCAAATTTAACACACAGACTATGTATGTTAACTTACATATACACATCAATTTTCACATCATTTTGGTCCTCAAGATTTCTAAAATTTTGATACTTCAAGCAACAATGGTCGACTGGTGGCCATTTTGTTTTTGTTCATGTCTATGCCAAGAAAGTTTGCACATAACTTCATGTACTATACTCGTAGGTAATACTATAGGTTGTGTTATTTTTTGTGACCGGATCAGATTTTGTCAAATTTACAGTCATTTTGTCTAAAATCAGGAATTATTTCTCGCAGATGAACAGGGCTTTGTATCAGGATTATACTGGGCTGCTGATGCACATCATTTTAACAACTGTTTCTTAGAGATGGCTTGCATGATTTTATTCAGTACAATGATTCTACATACTTGATTTTTGTTACACTTTACGTCTTTTGGTGATTCAACCTAATATATTCAGCCCAATACAGTACATTGCCAGCAACAACTGATCGCATCACAGCACTGTTTAGCCAAATGTACAGTCACACTTCTGGATTACTGCTAATGATGAAATTTGGCATTAAATTATAAAACTGTCACTGTGCATTGTCAATGCTTGTTTAATGATGTTTTACATTTACTTTACTTTACTGTTGAGCTAAGTTTAATTTACCACTCTTAACGTCAAGTGTTACCATGGAAACTCCCTGAAAACAACTTTATCAACTGATGCTATACTTCATGTATTTTTGTACAAGTTTTGTTCATAGCAAAGTTCTGCCCCTCATCCTCTGTATACACCTTTATCATAATGCAATTGACAAATGAAACGCATGCATCAAATAAATGATTATGCTTTCCTACATTTTCAGTTATTTTTACATGCATATCTATAATATAAGAGTTGTGTTTTTTATCAGGCTTCCCCTGTGCAGTTACCTCCACAAACACAACAACCAGTTCAGAAAAAGACACCATCAATGGACCTGTTAGGAGATCTTGGAGGTGATCCTTTCAGTGCAGCACCGCCACAACAACAGCAACAGCAGCCACCGCCTACAGGTATGGAGTCTGCATACTCTTTATTTATTTGATATTACTTGCCTACTTGCTTGGTGTTAACATGATTTGCTCGGATGAACCGCCACCACTTTTTGATAGTAATATGGTTTTGGAAATAATTTTGGTGTTAACTGGCATCTTGGTGTAAGCCTAAAGCTCACCACAACTTGCTGTGGTTAAAGAGAGAAAAATGATGGGTTAATAAAATGGTGTTCCATGGTGCAATCCCAGGGATTGACTGCTCCCTCTTTAATGCATGTTATTCCCACAGGGAGTCAAGGAGGAGGTGGATTTGCAGATTTTGGTTCAGCATTTGGTCAGACATCCAATGCATCATCCTTTGGACAGCAGGCTCCAGCCCCAGCATTTAGTCAGCCAACAACAACACCAGGCTTTAATCAATCAGGTGAGTTTTTATGATATAGCAGTATTGTGGCATCTCATTAGACACAAGGATTGCACTGTTAGACCACCAAGTCCTATTTCAACTAAGTTTCAAACAAATTTTCCCTATTAATCCTGATTACATGTGGCTATTTCTCAACTTTCTTTCATCTGTTTATTCTTTGTTTTGATTTATATAATTTTCTTCATTTAAGTGTCTCCTCAATGTAAGTATTTTGTTCTCACTAAAATATCTTATTTAATCAATCTAAAAATTAAACTATTCTTTAGTGTGTTTTCTGGACACTGTTTAGACATTAACATTCCCCTAATTCCAATTAGCCACCTTAATAGTAATAGTAGTTCTTGTAATGGGTATTATATATTACTTAAAATAACTGAATAGACAAGAGAACCTGCAATGGCCCTTGCATGATGCATGGCAGATTATACCGTTTTGGTAACTAACCAATTTATCAAATTCTGCTTTTTCTTAAATCAGCAGAGCATGTTGCGTCTCAAGAAATATATCCACATAAAATAACAATTGCATGGTGGGGTTGTAATGAGTAAAAGACCCTACCTTACCTCACCTTACTTCAGTTTACATGTTTTTTTAGTTGAAATATCTTTTAAAATTACAAATGTTGTTCAGAAGACATTAAGATTATAACAAATCCCAAAATATACTGTTACAGTAGTCCAGTACACTGGGTTATTCAAAAAAACAGGTTGCTCATGAATTCACTGTAGAATAGATGTATCTCAAATTTTATAGAGCAAAACTAGGAAATGGGAAATAAATTACATTGAAAACAACTTATTATTTCAAGTTAGAGTGTGATACTTCTAGCCACTTAACTAAAGATATTTCAACAGAGGTACATGTTAGAGCTAATAAATAGACAAGGTAGAATGAAGCTTATGTTTCTGTTTCTGTGTAACATTCTGGTGGTGGGGGTGGGTTCTCATTTCTCATGTAATCATGATTTCTCATTCAAGCCACCGCCAACCCTTTTGGTGAAGTAACAGGACCACAAATGGTCTTACTGACAAGCCACACTGTTACCACCTCATCGGCCAATCAACCCATCCCTGCTGTGTCCCCACCACCATCTGGAAGCAGTAAGTTTCACCTTCATTCTGTCCTATGTGTGCTGTTTCACTCCCTCACACATGGGTGTTTTTAGAAACTAATTATTACTGTATGTGTGAATGGCTATTTGTTCAACACTGTCACTACATGCAGACTGACACTGACAGACAAATTTCATTAGTATGTATGTGACTGGTGCATGGAAATTTTCAGGATCTATTATGAACATTGGTTTGGCTTTCAACCATCTGTCCATTGTCATTTTTTTAGCTGCACATGTGTTGCAACCACGATATATCATTTAAAGTATTCATACAAAAATTGATTTCAGTTTTCATTTCATTTTTGGTTCAATAAGGACAAAGATTTTTCTGGTGGTGGGAACATCAAGTATGAGACCCAATCTACTGTGACAACAACTATGTCCAGTAATGTAAGATTAATACATTGCTGTAGTGGTTTACAATTTGCATATGAATACAACCGTAGTGGTATACAATTTGCATATGAATACAACCGTAGTGTTATACAATCTGCATATGAATACAACTGTAGCAGTTAACAATCTGCATACATGAATACAACTAGCGGTTTTAAATTTATAACCTGGGACACATATGCAATAATCAATGAATGATATTTACATCTCAAATGTGAATAATCATAAATTTTAAATGATCAATCATTATTTATTTCAGTGAAATAGAGGGGGGCTGTGAGACAATTAAGAGCATATTTCACATTGCAATTTACACTGTCGCATAAAATTCACAATGTTATAACATAGGGTTCCAACATATGCATTTGATTATAAAAATGTATTCAAAGTGGAACAATTCTTGACTCCCGTGTGCGAAGCACAAAAAGGGAGTCTTTGCAATTAGTGTGTCTGTATGTGTGTGTGTGTGTGTGTGTGTATGTGTGTGTGTACTTGGATTTCTATATGTTGCGAGGACAAAAATACAGATATATAGCAACTTCCAAGGACATACACACCTTCCGAGGACCTTTTTCATAGTCCTCGAAAAAGATAATTTATATTAATAGTTAATTTGATTATTATTACGTTTTGCGTAGCTTAGG